GCGCCGGCCAACTCAGCCATTACTGTTGCCGTCCTATTGTACGTCAAATACAACTCCTTTTGTATTGTATTACTGATCACGTAATTAGTGGTATCGAGATATACGCCGATCTTCGGGATGGACTCAACCACTTCATCGTAGGCCAGACTCTGCATCAGTCGGCTATAGTTGGCGGCGAATGAGATGACAGCCCACGCACTGCCGGCCCGCACCTGATCCAGCGCCGCCTCCAACGAGTCATACGATGTCAACGCCATTGTGCCGTTGTTTAGGGCCCGGAGGAAGAGGTCACTCATGATCGCCGGCCGGTCGGCGTTGTAGACGGCGACGGGCAGGTCGTACGGGTCGGGACCCAGACATGTGAAGTTCAACAGACACTGGAAGGACGGCATCAGGAACTGAATGATAAGCATCGATAGGTTGCGCCGAATGCCAGTGATATTCTTCCAGTTCAGAGCACCGATACGTCTGATGAAAGAGAATCGCGATTTGTTGGCCAACAGTTGCGGCCGATTCTGGACAGCCATTTGATGATTGCTGGCCACCGGTTGGCCGTCATTATGATAAACGTATTTCTCATCGCGGGTCACGTCTTCGCCCATCGCTGGTCTCTCTGTCAGTTCAAACGATTGATTCACATGAGATCCGTTTGGCTTATTATTGTTGTCGACGACCACAACGGTGTCATCGATGGCGTCGTCTACGCTCTCGAGTTGACACAACTTGAGGAATACGGACTCGAGTGAAGGCAAACGCATTGCTGTCAGCAATTGTATGGGATTTCTCTCCATCAGTAGTTTGCCGTTTCTCATGAACGACACCACATCCGCACTCCGGGCCTCCTCTATGTATTGGGTGGTAATTATGATGGTTAGGCCCAACTCGCGGCACAGCATCTCCATGTGGTTCCATATGCTTTGTCTCAGCACCGGATCCACACCTCAATTCAAGTTTTATTGTAATTATTGTAAAGTTATTAATTTTAATGGATTACAACGTGATGTTAAAATACATACCGACTGTCGGCTCGTCCAGAATCAGAAGCGGAGGGGAGTGTATGAGCGCCGCCGCCAAAGACACGCGTCTCTTCTGACCACCACTTTTGGTTATTGATCACAATTTTTGATTATAAAATCATTTAAAATCATACAAAAAAAAGCAAATTTACCTCAAATTTTTAATAAATTTGTGTTTATTCGGCAAATTTAGTAATGAAATTAATTCGTCTGTCCGTTCGCTCACTTGCTTCACATCCATTTGATAGAGTCGTCCGAAGTATTTAAATGTCTCATAGATGGAGAAGTCGAGGAAGAGGGCGATCTCCTGCGGCATATATCCCAAGCCGGGCCCCGGAATGCCACTGTCCGGATGTCCGGGTACTCTCCCGTACACCGATATGTGGCCGCTGTCGGGCCGGCGTATGCCTACCACACACCGGAGTAGCGATGTTTTGCCGCAACCGCTCGGCCCCAGTAGTCCATAGATGCTTTGGGCGGGAACTGTCATGTTTATGCCGGTCAGCACCTGGTGTTTACCGTAGGCCAGTTGTACATTCGTGATTTTGACCGCCGCCTCGTTGCTTATGGTCCGCACTTTTTTCTCGTCGTAACCGTTGGCCACTTTGTTGTCGTCATAAAAGGCATAGTTATCGTAGTATGAGTTTTGTGACATTTTTTTGTTATCACTTTTAGTTATTTATAGATTATGTTTTGTAGTTATAATTAACTTTTAATGTTAATTATTATCGTTGTTATTAATTACAGATAATTTATCACCACGAGTATTCTGTCATTAATTAAAATGATTGTGTATTAATAGCTCTATTAAAATACTAATTGAGTATTAATTTGAATTATATTAATACTAATAACGAATTTATTATTATTTTCAATGCAAACAAATTGTATGAAATGTATTGTGTTTTTCCATAGCATCTAAAGTAATATTTTTGTCAATTGTTTTGTTAAGTGGGAAAAAGTTCCCAAAAAATGGTTGGGAAAAATTTATACCAATTTTTATCTAGTTTGACAAATATTTTCATATTCACGACTAATTGTGTACTAAAAGTTACATTCAATGAATCGTGGACTCAATTTTTACATTAAAATATTACTTAAATCATATGAAATAACAAAAAGATCAGTAGATTTATATAACTTTATTTCTCTGTAACCAAAGGTTTGACTATCAATTGTAACCGCTTTTGGGAAATAAAAACTAAAACACAATTAAAACATACAATAAATGCATGAAAACCGTATATACAGTATATAATTGTGATTCATATGAATTCTACAAACAATTATTGCATTTTGATCTTTGATTTACAATGTATTAAATCAATGCAAACATCGCTTTGATGTTTATTTAATTATCAATATATAATATTCTTATACTAATGGCCTGATTATACTTATAATTACATAATATAAGTATGTATAATAAGAATAAACTTTATAATATGGTATATGTCATATACTATAAGGTAACTGATTTTGCAATTATTATTGTAAAACAATTAATTAACAAAACGAGGCACACATTTGACTCACTCCCGTCTCTCTCTCTCTCTCTCTCTCTCTATCAGATGCACTTCACTTTTGGATCAATCAATTTCTTTAATATTGTTTTACAGTAAAAAGTGAAATCTCATTACACGACTATTAATTAAAGAGAGAGAGAGAGAGAGAGCGAGAGTGAGTAAATGTAATGTCAAACGAATCGTTTGTTGGCAAATTAATTTAATAATTCATTAGCAATTAAAACCAGATTATTCCTACGTATAATCGCAATTGTATGGTATATAAGGCATTGAAACACAAACAAATTTAATTACAAAATATAAAGTGAATTATTTTTATTTTTGCAAATCATTTCTAGACATTGTTTTAAAACAATTGTTTGTATTATTAATTATAGTGAAATACTTTTAAAAATTTATAAATTCAATAGAAATATAATTATAGTCGTGTAGAATATTATTTATAGTATTCATTATATTCTGTTTCACTTTGTATTTAATTAAAACATATTTTAAAATACAAAACATTTGCGAAAGTTTGCGAAAGAATTGCAACAAAAGTTAAAAGTATTGTTTTTGGTGCTTGATAACTTAGTTTACCCAATTATTAGTAAATTATCTAGCTGCACAAATGTCCCGCTCCTGTACTCTAACCATAACTCAAAAGAGTGATAAATATCCAGAAGAATTAAATACAAATAATTTGCCAAACGATGACTTAAGTACCATAAAGAAGGGCTTTTACATTGAATTTCCCAAAGTTTTCCTAACTTTTCGCAAATATTTCTCCAAAAAGGTAATTTATATTTTTATATTTCATTCAGTATTTTATGTAAATTTCATTAAAATATATTTTCCTTATTTTCATTTATTAATAATTTATTTTGAATGTATAGAAAACAGAGGAAACAAATCTAGATATAGCCAAAAATGTGAAAATCACTGAACATTTGCTGACATTGGATGAGTTGTGCGACAAATTTCAAACACATTTGGAAAATGGTTTGTCGGAAACGGAGGCCGACGTACGGCTCCGACGCGACGGTCCCAACGCTTTCACGCCTCCCAAACAGACCTCCCATTGGGTGCTATTCCTACGCGAAATGACCAGTGGTTTCGCACTATTGCTATGGTTCGCATCCATTGCCAGTTTTGTCTCATACGGTATCGAAAAGACTATACAAGATGTAAGTGAATACATAGTTTTAAAAAACTGTAATATGCATTACAACACTATTTTTGATCATGTTGGTTATTTGGTTTCATTATGTTCGGTTTAAGCACTGATGCCCAACTGATTGAAAATTAATTTTATTACAGCTATATCTGGGTGTTGTGTTGGCTTTGGTTGTGCTAATAACGGGCACCTTCTCCTACTACCAACAGGCCAGCAGTTCCGATGTCTTCGCCTCATTCAAGAATATGATACCTCCGGTTAGTAGTCATTCACATCTCTTATTATACCCATTATATACTGTTTCAAAGTGAGCCACAATTAATTGTCTGGTGTTTTGTTTTTATAGCAAACATGTGTTATAAGAGACGGCCAGAAGAAGTCACTGCCGGCCGAAGACATAGTGGCCGGCGATCTGGTCTACTGTAAGAGCGGCGATAGAGTGCCCGCAGACATACGTATAGTGCGGTGCGAAGGCATGAAAGTGGACAACTCGTCGCTGACGGGCGAATCTGATCCGTTGTCCCGATCGCCGGACATCGGCCACAACGCCGCTCTCGAGGCCAAGAATTTGGCCTTTTTCTCGACCAATTGCGTGGACGGCAGCGGCTATGGAGTGGCGATCGCCACCGGCGACAACACAGTGATGGGCAGTATTGCGAAACTGGTCTCCAATATCAAGAACGAGAAGACACCCATCGCTCAGGAAGTGTCGCGATTTGTCAAAATAATTACCGTCATTGCGGTGTTGAGTGGAGTCATATTCTTCGGCATCGCTTTCGGCTTTGGGGCCACTTTTTTCAAGGCATTCATTTTCATGATCGGCATTACTGTCGGTAATGTACCCGAAGGTATGCCAACAATTATTTCCATGAATGTGTCCATTAGTTTTAATATCATATGATTTAGTTAAAAATAATAATAGTTATTACTAATATGTAATTACTATTATTAATTAGACATGAAGTAAATGTATGTCTATATAAATCATGTTAAGTCTAACAGAAATCTCTTATGTTTGGGCCCAATATGTGGTACACATTAAGGTCTTCTGCCGGCGCTGACTGTGGCCCTAACGATGACCGCCAAACGGTTGGCCGCGAAGAACTGTTTGGTCAAGAATCTGGAATCGGTGGAGACGTTGGGCTCCACGTCCACCATCTGTACGGATAAGACCGGAACACTCACACAGAATCGGATGACTGTCGAGCACTGTTATCTCGCCGACCAAGTGCTCAAAGTGAGCCACGATCGGCCCGAAGTGGCCGAACAGATGTCACCACTGGCCGAGTGTTGGCAGGCGTACAGCCGGTGCTGTCAACTGTGCTCTCGGGCCGAGTTTGTCGACCCGACGGACACCAACGCCGACAACATAATGACCCGCCAGTGTTCGGGCGACGCTTCCGAGACGGCTATATTGCGGTTCATGGAGTCGACCATAGGGTCGGTCGGCGAGTATCGACGGCAGTACCCAAAGGTGGCCGAACGGCCGTTCAGTTCGTCCTACAAATACCAGTTCTCCATACATAAGAACCCGACGCCCGGTGCCGATGGCACTGAAGGCAACTTCTTTCTGGTGATGAAAGGAGCGCCCGAACGCATACTCCAGATGTGCGGCTCTCATATCGCACCCGACGGCCAGACAGTGTCCATTGATGAAGAGTTTGTGTTTGGCTTTGAGGAGACGTATCGCGATTTGGGTTCACAGGGACTCCGAGTGCTCGCCCTTTGCGACTACGAGTTCACGCAATTCCCGGCAAATCATAGATTCAATTTGGATGAAGAGATGGGCTTTGAATTGAAGAATTTGCGTTTTGTCGGACTCGTCGCTATGATAGACCCGCCCCGGTATTAACACATACACCACTTATACAGCCTTTCCTGTCCCAAGCGCTTCCACTCCACCCCATATATACCATACATGTCTATACAGTATATGCCGTATATTTATACATGTGTTTTGTTTCTGTGTTTGTTATTTACCGCTCCCGTTGTCTATAGACCTACCGTTCCCGACGCTGTACGCAAGTGCCGCAGCGCCGGTATCAAAGTGATCATGGTCACCGGCGATCACCCCATCACCGCCCAGGCTATCGCCAAATCCGTTTGCATATTCTCTCACTCTCACCGCCGCTCCACTCGTATCTCAATACTGGCCACCGATGGCCAGATTCGCAACAACACGGCCTCCATTGTAGTGCCCGGAGAGGACCTCTTGGAGATGACGGACCCGGAGTTGCGGGAAGTGCTCAACGATTACCAGGAGATTGTGTTCGCCCGGACGTCACCGCAACAGAAGCTCCGTATTGTCGAGAACTGTCAGTATTTGGGACAAATAGTGGCCGTCACTGGCGATGGTGTTAATGACTCGCCCGCCCTTAAGAAGGCCAACATTGGAATCGCTATGGCCGGCATCATATCTGTGCCCAAACAGATCAACAACACTGTGACGGTGCCGATGGCCAGAGGGAAGCCGAATATGACGTAA